CCGGTGTGGCAGCCTGCAGCCGTGGGAAGAAGGGAGGCGGCGCGGAGCAGCCCCGCGCAAGCTGCGCGCCCGGCCGCGGAGGGGAGGGCTCAGCCCCGCCGGCTTCGGGCGGCGAAACTCCGCGGCCGGCGGAGCCGCTCGCTTCCCCGAGGCCCGAGCGGGGCTCTCGGCTCTCAGCGTGACAAAGGACATCGCAAAGAACGATTGGGATTATTATTTTTTTTTTTAACCAGGTCACAAACATTTATTAATTTACACCAACGGTGGACAAAATTCTGTTGCCTTTTCCACATCAAATTATTCACAGATTCTCTCAATAAAATAGATATGACGGATGCACAACCAGTGAGGAGTTAACTGGACTCCGCTCATTAGCTCCCGAATAATCTATATACAAATAATTACCAATACACCAAAAAACCCACGCACGGAGGGGGTGGGAAAACGGGGATCAAAAAAAAAAAAATAGTACGGGAATTCTCCAAACTTCCTGACGGATCGGATTTTCTTTTAAACGTGCATTTGAATGTCTCATTGGAAAAAAAAAAAAAAAGAAAAAGAAAGAAAAAAAATAAACCGCAGTCCTGAGTTTCACCGACTTTTCTTCTTCTTAAAAATAAAGAAACCCTAAACAGTGCCTTTTAAAACCAAACCCGAAGCTTCAAAGAAACTAAAAATAAGATCGAACCATTAAAACATTTTCTTTGAGAGCCGGGGAGAGACAGACACACATGGCAAAACCGCCCGGGAGAGAGATTTGCAGGAACGAAAACGGGCTCGCTGCGACCGGGGGCGTCTGCAACTCCCCCGGCCACTTTCCCAGGCGATTTGGGGGACCCCCGCGGAAAACCCGCACCTCTCAAAGGAAACATTTCCGACCCCTAAGACCGTTTCTTTCTTAACATCCCCCCCCCTCACCCCCCGCAAGACGTTGCGTGTTCAATCAGCCCAGGTCTCAGCTTAGGTTACGGCCACTTTATAAATACGCTTTGGCGCTTGCGGGACCAAATCGTGTTATTCTTTCCCCCCTCCCGCCCTCCCGATTCATTTAATATATATATATTTTTTTTTCCCCCGAGCAAAGAGACACAAACAGATCTGGATGCCACAGA